CTTCAGACTAAGATTATTGTGATAAAAATTAAGACAGAAAAATATACAGGCTTTAATAAGTTAGCTACTTGGAAACTGCTGAATGAAAAAAAATGAATGGCATTTACATTTTTATTATTTTTTGAGATAATATAATTATATCATTTTCCCCTTCCCTCTCTTCCTTTCGAACCATCCCTTATACCTCTCTACTCTCTTTCAAATTCATGGCATGGATCTAATAAGCAGGGGCCTCTGCGGCCATCACAGTCAGCAGAGCAACAATCTAGGGGAGGCCGGAAGATAGTTTAGTTCAACATGACTAAGCAGCAAGTGTTGGTTCTAACTTCTGAAGTCTGACTCCAAGTAGTCTATCTTTAGGCATATTTAAGCATAGCACAATATGAAAAGGTTTCCCAGTGATAATTACTGCAATACTATGTGTACAACAAAGCTTTATGACATGACTACGTACAAACTCCTTTTAAAAAGTCCAAGTGACATCTTCCATAAAGATGGATTCTATAAAGTGACTGAGACAATCAAGATCAAGATGAGGCTCTAGGGAGGACCTGATGTGGCCTTGGCCACACAGATATCACAAGGGCATTAAAAAGAGTTACACATCTCTGCCTTTGAAGAGACAACCCTGTGTGTTAACATTCCTGCTTACTGTAGTTCTTTGTCTTGGGTTGAGATCTCCTGAGCTGCCTGTCCCCTTCTGTGTTAGCATGTCTATGGTGGTGTCATTGTTCAGATGTTTAGGCAGACATCTTTGTGAAACATCACAGGTATGTGTATCTTCTGACATTTCAAGGAGCAACAATCTCTCAGCAAATTCCCTGTTTCTCTGATTCTTACAGTCTTCCCGCCCCTTCTTCCGCCCTGACGCCTGAGCCTTCATTGCGGGGTAGTGTTGTAGATGTGTCATTTGGGACTGGACCTTGCAACACCGCATTTTTGACAGTGGTGGTTTTCTGTAATGGTCTCCACCAGAAACATTATTTTAAAAGGCAAAACTCCACGCCAGTTTTTGTGGGCTTCAAATAGCTCGTGAAAGGCCTTGTCAAGTTAGAAGGTTAGGCAGCTTACAGGTGCCTCACAAAACACTGCATGGGGAACATTGCTTTTCCAGTGAAACGATCCACTGTCCCCTGCTTGTGTAGGTGTGTACTGGGAGAGAGGTGGCAATGAATATTCTTATTTGTTTTCCTCCCATTTGTTCCATTTCTAGGTGGGCGAAAAAGAACATGCAACCCTCGGAGGACCTCAAGTCGGTGATCCAAAGACTGTCTGCACTAGGCACAATTGTCTCAGTCACTCCTTGTGGGCGCCAAAGTGCTGTTGTGGTGTTCAAAGACATCACCTCAGCTTGCAAGGCTGTGAGTGCTTTTCCGACCATGTCTACAGGCACTCTGTTCCAGTGCTCATGGCAGCATTGTTTCATGTCAAGAAATGTAAGGCTTTCTATTGCCAAAAATCTGATTTAATTTTGAAGTAATTTTAATTTTTTTTGAAATTATAATTACATAATTTCCCCCTCCTTTTTCTTTGTCCAATTCCTTCCTTGCACTGCTCGTCTCTCTCAAGTTCATGACCTTTTTTAAAAATTGTTCTTACACACACATACACATACACACACACACACTCACTAACTCATTCAATCACTCACTCATAATGTGTGTGTGTATGTGTGTGTGCGTGTGTGTGTGTGTGTGTGTGTGAATGTGTAACCACAACCTGTTCAGTCTGTATAATGTTACCCATGTGTATATGATACCAGGGCTGACTACTTGACATTGGATAACCAATTGGGAAGGGAAAACCATTTCTCCCACTCTCAACATTCCCTAGTTCTGTCTAGGATTGAGGCTCCATAAGCTTTTCCCCTTCTCTCTTAGCATGTTCATTGGTGTTCATATCTTGTTTAGGCAGTCATGTTGATAAGACTTCATGGGCGTAGCCTCTCTTGACATTGCTAGGAGGCATAATCTTACAGCAAAGTTCCTTTTCCTCTGCCTCTTCTAGTCTTTCCACCTTCTCTTCTGCAACTACCCCTGAGCTTTAAATATAGGAATTGTTTTGTGGGTGTGTGACTTCAGCAATAGGGGGAGTATCAGCCACTAAGTACCACAAGACCTCTGATTCTCTGTACTTTGATCAGTTGAAGTTTTCTGTGAAGGTGTCTGTCTGTTGCAAAGATAGCTTCCTCTGATGAGGTGTGAGGGCTACATGTATCTATGAATGTAAGGGTAAGTATTTAGGATGTGCTTAGGTGTTATACTGGTTAGTAAGCTGTCAATGGTAGGTTCACCTTCGAGATCTAGGACTTCACTCACCCTTGATAGATGGCTTAGGTTTCCAGTACCAGTCACGGTTTTTCTCTTGTTGAGTGGGCCCCGAGCCCAACCAGAGAGCTGTTGATTACTGCCAAGGCATCTCTACTACTCTTAAGAGAACAACTCTGCTCTTAGTGTTATCATGACATGTTGGTCTTTGTTATGCTTCATAGGCTTCATAGCTGGGTAGGAATATTGTCTGCTCTCCTCTCCTGGAACCTTTCATGGCATCTTTGGTACCATGATAGCTGGTCCTCAGGGAGGCAGCTTTCAGGTTAAGTGCAACTTGGATCCTCGGTGCCCTGTGTCTGAAGTACACGGCGTCTTTGGCAATAGGGACTCACCTTCCACTTCTGGGAAACTACCAAGGGCAACTGCAATCATGTATAACATTTTGCAAGTCTTTTGGACATCTCAAAAGGAGGTTCTTCATGCTTATTTTGAGGGCTTTGTTAAGTAATTTACAGATTTTTGGAGGAACATGAATTGTCAGCTTAGGTGTAAAAGTTTCATTTAAACTATGTTCATATACCTAGACTCACATGTGTTCTGGGTCTTTTTATGTAACTACGTAATAAGTAACATGGCTCCTTACAACTTTTTCAGACATCCTTTCTGCTATTCTACTCTCCCCTCTCCTTCTTTGGTATTTTTTTTCCTCCCCTTTCCTAATTGAGACCCCCGCTTTTTCATTTTCCCATTCAAATTACTTGCACCCTAATATACTCCCATTGGTCCAGTGGTCCCCTTTCAGTTTCCTGGTTTCTATGGTTACTCTAGGCTATATACTCACATCCGAAGACTTGGAGCTAGGAATCACAGACTAGCAAGAACATATGATGCTTGTCTCTCTAGGTCTGGTTTACCTCATGAAGTGACCTTTTCTAGTTCCATTACTTTGCCTGAAAAGTTTGATTTTGTTTTTCTTTATGGATGAATAGTATTCCATAGTATGTGTGTACCACATTTTTATTATCCTCTGCTAGTTGAAGGATGTTTAGACTGTTTTATGGTTTGAATAAAAATGGCTCCCAAGGGCTCATATATTTGAATAACTGGTTCACATTTGGTAGAACTGTTCTGGAAGATTACGAGTGTGACCTTGTTGGAAGATGGGCTTTGAGATTTCAAATGCCCATGACAAGTCCAATATCTCTCTTTCTCTCTGTCTTTCTCTCTCTCCAATTGAAGATCAGAATATAACCTCTTAGCTACACATACAGCATAATGCCTGACTATCTGTTGTGATGCAACCCACCATGATGATCATGGATACCCTCTCAAACTGTAAGTTGCTCTAGTCATGGCGTCTCTTCACAGCAGTAGAAAAGCAACTAAGACATGTTGTCCCCATTTCGTAGACACTGTGAACAGAGGAGCAATAAACATGGTTGAGTATCTGTGGAATAGGCTGTCAAGTCCCTTGGGCATACTCTGAGGAGTGGTAAAACTGTATCATATGGTAGACTTATTTTTAGCCTTTTGAGGGTTCTCCACACTGGTTTCCAGATTGTTTGAACTAGTTGGGGTTTTAATTTTTTTAATTTTTTATTTTTGTTTGGTTTTTCGAGACATGGTTTCTCAGTGTAACAGCCCTGGCTGTCCTGGAGCTACCTCTGTAGACCAGACTGGCCTCAAACTCAAAGACATCTGCCTGCCTCTGCTTCCTGAGTACTGGAATTAAAGGCGAGTGCAGCGACCACCACCCAGCATGTTTGAACTAGTTTTATGAGGCCCCATTTGTCAATTTTTGACCTCAATTCCGGGGCAAATGGAGTCTGATTTAAAAAGTCCTTCCCTAATATTTATATCATGTATGGCACCGCCTGTATTTTTTTCTAGCAGTTCCGTGTTTCAGTTCCACATTCAAGGCTAATTTCAGTCTTCTACAACTGGGCATTCAGTTTTTCCAGTGTCATGGTCCACTTGGAGTTAGTTTTTGTGCGAAGGGATGGGTACAGGTCTAATTTCAGTCTTCTACAAGTGGGCATTCAGTTTTTCCAGCACCATATTTTGAAGACACCGTCTTTTCTCCAGTGTATATTTTCGATACATTTGTCAAATATTAGATGGCTACGGTTACCTATACGCATGTTTGAATCTTTGAGTTTGTTCCGTTGACATACGTGTCCTCATTGTGCTCACACCATATTGTTTTTATTACTTTGGCTTTCTGATATATATTGAGGTCTGAAATGGTAATTCAATAGCATTTCTCTTTTTGCTCTGGCTCATTTTTGGCTAAACTGAGGTTTTTTGTGGCTCCATATGAATTTTAGAGCATTTTTTCTATTTCTATGAGTAATGGGAATTTTGACTGGGATAACACTGAATCTATAAGTGGTTTTTGGTGGAATAGTCATTTTTAAAATATTCATTCTACCAATCCATGACCAGTTTGCCTTTCCATTTTCTAGTGCTTTTTCCCCTCTCTTTGGTCAGACATCTAAAGTTTCCATTGTAGAGGTCTCTGACCTCCTAGGTTAGATTTATTCCTGGATATCCTACATAAATTCCTAAGGCTTGTTTTATGGAAGTTTTTATTTGTCATGACCGAGGCATTCTCACCATAATTTCTATGTTACTTAAGAAAAAAACACAGTGAAATGCATGTTGTTCAAGCCCCCAAAACGAGAGCTCACGGCACACTTCCTCTGAGGGGTCTAGCTGCTGTGGTGGGCTTCACAGTTTTACTTTCCGGGACACGAAGTTCAAGAGCGCGTTCGAGCACTCTTCTGATGTCAGCCTCTCCTGGATGATAGTGCTCTCTTCAGCGTTAACAGCGTGCAGCTTTTGCTTCTCATTCTTTCTCATTAGCTCTTTGGAAATTTTCATACCCTGTTGCAATGAAACCAAGAATAAGAGTTATTCAAACAGGAATAATATTATATGATTCTTTTTTGTTTGTTTGTTTGAGGCAGGGTCTCTCTACATGGCCTTGGCTGGTCTAGGGCACACTACATAGACCAGGCTGGCCCAAACATCATAAAATCCACCCTCCGCAGCTTCTTGAGTGTAGGAATTAAAGGAGTACACCACTATTCCTAGCTATTTTTAGTTTTACAAATTGTTTATTTAAATGTGTGTGTGTTATACTTGCATGTCTATGTACCGTGTGCATGCAGTGATTACAGTGGCCACAAAAAGGGTGCTAGATTTCCTTTGACTGGGGTTACAGATGGTGAGTCACTATGTCTCCATCCCCCTTTCCGCCTTTTCTTCTTTTTGTTTATTTTTCTCCTCTCCTCTCCTCCCCTCCCCTCCTCTCCCCTTCTCTCTCTCTCTCTTTCTTTCTTTCCTTTTAGTTTTTTGAGACAGTGTTTCTCTGTGTAGCTTTGGAGCCTGTCTTAGAACTCATTCTGTGGAACAGGCTGGCCTGAAACTCACTGAAATCCACCTGCCTCTGTCTCCCAAGTGCTGGGATTAAAGGCATGAGCTCCCACCACCCAAGCTACTGTTAAATCTTTCTAAGATGTGCAGGCTTCCCAAGCCTGATTGTGTAAAGATGAACACAGTGAGTGTGAGGCAGCTCTGTTATTATACATTTCTAAACAACCCTAGATGGATACAAATCTTCTGGTTCTAGGATCACACACTCAATAGTAAGGATGTAAGAACAATCAGCCACGAGCTACTACCTATATAAACTGATGTGCTATAGAGTGGGGTCCCCTAAACACACTCAACCTCCTTACCTCCCACCTGAATTTCAAAATAAAAAAGCTGAGTGTCTACTGGCTTTAATCCTCCTGTAGTCATCCCCACGAAAGATGTCCCATTTGACCTTGTAACACAGAAATGGAATGTCTATCTGGTAAGTTCTCTTTAAAAACATCACTATTCCCAATGTTATAGTAACTTTTAACAAAATCCAGAGGTGCTTCAAGCCAGCTAAAAACATGACTTGTCTTCTTAGGATTTGTCCTCCTAAAGTACATTTTCCCTTTGAAAAATGATTTCCACATCCCCACAAGTAAAAACCAAATACTAACGATTGGTGGGAGCTTCGCATATGCTTTCAGCCTGGTCCAGATTTCTTTCTCAAAAGTGCTGTCAGGAAAAACTTCAGTGACGAGGCCTTGAGCACAGGCCTCTCTTGCTGTGAGCTTCTTCCCAAAGAGAAGCATCTCAGTTGCCTGCAATGCAAAGCAAGATGCAACCCCAGCTTAATAAAGCAAGGCTTCAGCTGACTTCAGAATGGCCAGCTACAGGGAGATGCAGATGTACTCATGGCTCTTAAGGTTGCCTGTCTTTACCAGGAACAGGCAAGCCAATGGCCACAACTGGCCAAGGATTTTCAAACAGCTGAGACCATGGCTGTTTATGTCTCTTGAGGGGAGGGGCTGGAAGGGCAGAAATGACTTGAACCCCTGGTAGCTGTGGTTTCCTGTTTGTGAATGATAACAAGGTGGGGTGACACAGCAGAACTATGGTCATAGGGTCAACCTTTTGAAACATTCAAAATTCCCTTGTCTGTTAGGTTGTCCTAGTGCTGAGCTCTGAGCATCTCCTTTGCCTGCACAGATGCTCAGATTGCTTTTACAGGAATGATTTTTCTATAAAACTGGGCAATGAGCAAATGTTCTCTCTACCGTTGCATTTTCTCTTTTAGAAGAGTAAATACTTCTAAGCAATTGAAGTCGGAAGGACTGATATTCAACTTTTCAAAACTTAACTGATTAATATGTTGGGCTCTGTGATGTCAACATGATGAAGTTAAAGAAGTGTATGCCGGTGCTAGAGACATGCATGGTGCAACCATTAACAGCACTGGCTGCACTTGTGAAGGATCCAGGTTAGACTCCCAGAACCTCTATGGTGCCTCACATCATATCTAATTCCAGATTTCGGGGATCCAGTATTGTCTTCTAGCCTCTGTAGGTCATGAGTGAAGTAGTGCATAGACATACATGTAGGCAAAGCACTCATATACGTAAGATTAAAAATAAATCTTAAAAAGGTAATGTATGGATATATATTATATGTGTGTGCATGTGGGGGGCATTTACAATAAAAAAATCTAATCATCAGCAAGCATTACTCCCACAGACACCCCTGGAGATGGCACCCAATGTCTGCTAAGCCCTCCCCTCAGTCCCACCTCTCCATTTCTGTCTCATTGTCTTTGGAGTCACTCCCCAGAGGACAGACAATGGATTTGTACAAATACAGAGCTAGACCTGAGCAGCCGGTGGGCCATCTTGGGGCGGGGTCTCAACAGGAGTCTCAACACATAGCATAACAACTGGTAAAAGGCAGTTCTGACTGGAAGTCACAGTGACTATGGCTTCGTGGGGCTGTTAAGAGCTGGCAACTTCTGGAACTTTACATGGCCCTAAAGAGAAGATGTCACCATGTTATCTCAGAGGTTGTTTCTCATCCACACAGTTAGGTGGTTCTGAGTTGATCACATCTGTAAATGCTTCCTAGTCCCGGGCCTTCAGGGACTGTCACACAGCTGTGGAGGACAAGGTCTTCTGCCGCCAGAGCTCCAGCTCTAGGTCACCAGCTGTCAGACACAGTCCCTGCATCAGGAACTGCAGAGCAAATATCCTGACCCTTCCCTTACATCAGGTCTCCCCTTAGCCTGGGTTTTCCACACTGCAGAGCACACAGTCATCCTGGAAGCTTTGCCCAAGGGAAAGAAGACAGAGCACAGGATTGCCTTGGCAACAAGGACAACACACTAAGTTTTTTCTAAGTTACCTTTGCTGGGCCCATTATCTTCGGAAATGTGTAAGAGGAGCATGCTTCTGGGCTCTGACCGAGGTGGCTAAATGGAGTATGAAATGTTGCCTAGTTGGGATTGAGGAAGAACAGAAAGGCATTTTGAGTTACTATTTTAACTTTCTCTCTCTCTCTCTCTCTCTCTCTCTCTCTCTCTCTCTCTCTGTGTGTGTGTGTGTGTGTGTTTCAGTTGGTCTTGCTATGTAGTGCAGGCTGACCTAGATGTCACAATCTCTGCCTTAACCTCTCGGGTGCTAACATTACAGATATGTATTAATTTCTGTGCCCGTCTCACTGTTCTTTTCTTTTAACCCTTCATTCTATTTTTTTACATGCATGGTTGTTTTGCCTGTACTTCTGTGTACCACATGTATGCAGTGACCATGAAAGCAGAAGGTGTCACAGCTCTGAGACTAGAGTTACAGATTGTTGTGAGGCACCATGTGAGTGCTGAGAATCGAACCCAGATCCTCTAGAAGAACAGCCAATGCTCTTACCTGTGGTAGCTCACTACTGTGAATGGAGACATTTAAACTAATACTATGTGTTCTTCTATACACATACAATGTGTGTAGAATCTTTCTGTCTCTGGTGTCTTGTCTTTTTAGAACATTACACACACGGAATCTATATTCAATGCTGTTCCCCATTACCTAGTGTAAGGTCTGGCAGTCACCCATGCATTGCATACTGGTAGCCTCTTTGTTGCTATTGTTGCTGATGCTGTGTGGTTTTGTCATATCTTTTTAAATCTACATGCATTATTTCCAGAGTTGCGGCTATTATCAGTAGGTTCAGTCAAGAACCATAGACCTGATTGATAAAATACGTACAATTCCCATTTGTAAATAATACCTCAATGAAGCTGAGAAACAAATCCTTTTCTGATTATGTCTATCACAGAAGTAGTTGTGGGTATTTGTGTACACTTTCAATTCTCATGGGTAATTCTCACCTTTGAGTAGAATCACTAGTGTGAGAAAAGTATATGTTTATCTTAAAGATGGTGCTGACCTCTTCCCCAGAGGCATTGTGATATCAACATCCCATTTTGAGATGTCCTTGTTCAGGTTCACCAGGAGAAGTTCTTGTAGCTTAATCAAGACACTACATGCATTGTAGTACCTCATATTTTCAGTTTATATGTCTTTTATGGCTAATGATGTTGAGAATCTATTTTGCATACTTAATAGTGTGGTTATAGCATCTTTGTTAACTGTTAACATGTTTCTCAATAATTTTAAAGTTAAATTATTTGCCTTAGTTGTGAATTATAAGAATTATTTGTCGACACAGATTATAAGTAAATATCATGCAAAGAATTGTTACTGATCTGTGGCTTATCATTACTTTTAAATAAAAGTAAAGGCTCTTGCTACATGGCACAGGCTGGCCTCAAACTTAAAATAGTTCTCTTTGCTCAGCCTCACAGAAGAGTGCTGGGATCACAAGCATGAATTATCACACCCTGCTGGCTGTGTGTGTGTGTGTGTGTGTGTGTGTGTGTGTGTGTGTGTGAAGGGGTAGTGGTGAGGAAGAGTGTAGGAGAGGGTCTTGTGTAGCTCAGGGTAGACTTCAATTTGTTGTGTGGCCAGTGATGACCAACTCCTGACCTTCTGTCTTCTCTGCTTCCTAAGCACTAGGAATACTCCCACATATTACAGCACATACATCTCCATCCATTTCAATTTTATTACCTCTCTCTCTCTCTCTCTCTCTCTCTCTCTCTCTCTCTCTCTCTCTCTGTGTGTGTGTGTGTGTGTGTGTGTGTGTGTGTTTGTGTGAATTGGTTCACTCTTACCATGTGGGTCTCAGGCTCTGAACTCAGACCACCATACTCAGTGACAAACGCCTTTGCTAGAGCAACTGTCTTGCCTGCTCCTCAGAGTTCTCTCTCTCTTGTTAATGTTCTCTCTCATGGTTTAAAGAGCCATTATGTTTCATTTCTTGTGTCTTTTTTATTTCTCCTCACTGCCAATTTTTACATGAATTTTTGATTGATAGCTTTATAAACATGTTTTTTTCCTATACTTAAGAAAAACATTTTGTTAGACAAGGTCTTACTCTATAGCTCAGACAGGCTGGCCTCAAACTCATGACAATCTTCCTGCCTCAGCTTTCCAAGTGTTGGTATTACAGGTAAAAGTCAACACATTGTTTATTTATATAGCTTTTGGATAATAAATATTATTAAAAGAATCACTGCTGTAAGTAAACAAATACTTAAACTTAATTTTAATGGCAAGACATAGTAGTTATTTTAATGCATATTTGTGAGAATATATGATTTATGTAGCATATAAATAAAAACAGAGAATACTCTCATTAATGTCACTTTTCTTCTTCATTCCAGAACCTTTGGTCAAGAAAACGCCATTCAATGTAGCTTCAAGAATATAATCAGTAAAGAAACCACAGCTAAATTGACATAAACAGGTACACATGAGCATGGCAAGGAACAGTTATTACACTGATATTTCCAAAGATGAATGGTGGATGTAGTTAAGAGCTAAGGTTCTAGCAATGAATTGATTAAAAGTTTTGGGACAGTCCCTTACCCTCTCTGTGACAGTTTCCTCTATCTGTCAATCTAGTATGACCTCATAGGGCTGCTGTGTGTATTGTGTAAGATGTGTATATGTACTAACAGAGTACCTACACACTGTGGGCATGCAAACATCTATTTGAAAAAAATTTAAAACTCACATGGAAATGGTAAATTTGCTGGTAGAGAAGCTACTAGCATATTTAGTTGCTAGTATTTAAGACCAGTATCCATCATAGACAACAGCATAGCATGGCTATATTAATAGGGTTGAATGTGAACCTCTTGTTCAACCCAGTATTTGTTTATGAAGTCAATAAAAACCCAGGGAATCTCTTCAGTGGCGAGCCAGGAAACTTTGGCCCCTCCTAAGGAGAAGGCAGCAGAAGAACCTGAGGGCTGCTGGTCTGTAATTCTGGGGTAACCACTAAGATAACTATCATCACATCTGTGTCTACAACAACAAAACTCAGAAACAGCCTAAGGGTTCAGAAGCCAGGCACTGGTGAGATTGGCTAAGTTATAGAAAGCAAATACTAGCACTGGTTTCCATCTACGTGAGTTTTTCCCCAAATAATAAATTTCACACTGAGTATTTAAGGCTAGACATCATGTTACTACAAGATGCACATAGTGGAACCAGCTAACTCACATAGTCGCCATCCCCCTCCCCCCAGCCAGAGACAATTATAATATTTCTATTCACTTGGTAAACTTCCTAGATATAGTCTACTATTATTGACTATAATCTGCACACTGTACATTTGATCCTTTAGTCCTTACTATCTGCTCTATATCCCCTTACGTCACATCACTCCCACCTAGCAAAATGGTTCCTGCCTTGTTCTTTTCCTTCCTCCCTTCCTTTCTTTCTCTGATGTTGCTGGGGGAGCCAAAACAGAGCCTTGCTCACATTAGGTATTAAATGCTCCATTATTGATCAAAACCCTACTTTCAATTTTTAAAACTTAAATCTTCTTCTTTGTATTTTGCCTAAGTTCAAAATGTTTTATTTTTGGTTACCACAGAGATACACTATAGTAAGAATGAAAATTAAAATTCTAAGTGCAGTGGTGAACACAGGTCTGAACTGTGTTGTGGACTCAGGACTGCTTGGGGCTTTAGCTCTCGGATATGCAAGGGAGGGAGAGCAGTACACAATCATAGTCCCTGCTCACTTTAGAAGACTAAATAGTAGGCTTCCTGAACTAGGAGAAAAGGACCAAACATGGAGGTTATAGCCTCTCCAGCAAGCCTCCAATCGTCTCCTGAGCATTTGGAGGCAATATTCAAAATAAAAATTGAATAAATATTAAACTCTGATTAAAATACAGAATCACCAGAGTTGGGGTTATGTTTATGGCAATATATGTGTTTAAGAAAATCAATGAACAAGCAAGGAAAAACCCAAATTGTCAAGTTAGACTGAGTCTTTAAGAACTATCTAAATAACTGCATTCTACCACTGTCTTGCTTTGTTTTCTGTGGCTGTGATAAAACACTGAACAAAAGCAACTTGGAGAGGAAAGGGTTTATTTGGGTTATAGGCTACAGTTCATCATTGAGGGAAGTCAAGGCAGGAACCATGGAGCAGGCGTGCTTATGGGCTGGCTCACTATGGTTCGCTTGGCCTGCTGCTTTCTAGTACAGCCCAGAGCCACATTTGATGGGTGGCAATGTCTATAGCAGTCTGAAACCTTCTGCTTCAATCATTAATCAAGGGAATGCCCCATAGACAAGCCCACTGAACAATCTAAGGGAGGCAATTCCTCAAGTGAGCTTCCCTCTTTCTACATGACTCCAGTTTGTATCGTTGATAAAAAAAAAACCAAAAAACAAAAAACAAAAACAACAAAAAACAAAACCTAACCAGCACAGTCATTAACTCCCATAATATGTTTAGCTCTAGTCAGTATAAAGGAGAGTCATGGGAGCTCACTGATTAGCCAGGAACAGAATTACCTTGTCAGAGGCATAGACAGCATCAAACAGTCCCAGAAGGGTGACGGCGAGTCCTACAGCTGGGCCGTTTACTACTGCAACCAGAGGTTTGGGAAAGTCTATAAAACTGCTTACCAGGTCCCTACAGAAATGGAAATAGGAAAGCATTACCTATTTCAAAGTAGTATACTACCTAACTATAGAAAGGATTGCATACATTAAAGCTGATACAACCCTAAAGGGTCACCTTCCCAGGCTAAACCGAGAGCCCAATGGGAGGTCAGACCATGACTCCTGCAAACTGAGCCTGATTCAAAGTTTTCTGGACAGTGCGCTTACGTTCAAGGCTGTGGGCCAGTTGTGACCGGAGACATCATGGTGGGTGACTACGTGCATAACTGCGTATCGCAGCACAGGGGGACTGAGAGACTTGGAAGATCTGGAATAGGAAGGTGAAGCCTCAAACCTCCTTCAACAGCTTTCAAGACTACATCCAGTGCACAGCCAGCATCCGCAGGCACTGTGTATTCACCCTGCTGCGTGGGAACACAGACTCCCTCTGCCTCGTCCTCACCTTACACTTTCCACTCAACCTCATGAGACTGCAGGGTGAAGGGGGGAGGTCTAAGGGGAATCACGATTAAGTGCCTCAGCACAGACAAATGACTGTTTACTGTTGGGGGGATGAGGAGATGACTCATCATTTAAAACATCTGCCAATCAAGTATGAGGACTGAAGTGAAGCTTGAGTCCCCAGAACCCACATAAATGCTCTCTGGCCTCTGCTATCAGAACATAAATACTATCAGAACTCTGGCCTCAGAAGGTGGAGACTGGATCTAGAGCAAGCTGGCTAGCAAGATTCTCCATGTGAGGGAACTCTGTATTTAAGGGAATGTGTCTCAACAAAGAGAAAAAAAAACAATTAAAGATGATTCTAATGTCTACCTAGGACTCAGCATCCATATGTATATACATACTCACAAACACCTGGGCCTACACACATGTAAGACATGTAAATGAACAAGTATATCATAAACACATGGGGGAAGTGAAGGTGGGGGAGAATGAATCCCTTGGGATGAGACAAATGTCACACTTACCTCAGTGCTATAGCACACTTTATAGCTAACTCCTGGATTTCACCAGCGGCACTAATCAAGTTACTTAGGTCATTCCCACTGCAGTAATAGTCACCAGCTCCTGTGAACAGTCAATTAACAGAGCCACGATTCCTTTATATATCTACTCATTCTACAGCTATGTGCACCTGCTGTGTGCAGGGCTCAGCCAGTCACTAGGAGAACATGAGTGACCCTCATATGCACAGTAGGGACTAGCAAGACATGGGTGTTAAAGAACCTAAGTAAATGAAGATGGTGTGATTAGAACATGACAGATGGCCACGTGGCATGACTATGAAGCAGGCTTAGTCTATTGTGGGGTTTAGGATAGAGCTCACACAGGAAGGGGCAGTTGGACTGAGATCTGAACAACAGGCAAGGTTAGCAGAGACAGAACAGTGCACATGAGATTCTGTGTCTATGGTCTCCAGGGTCTACACAACAATCCAAAAGAAGAGCCCCCTGCGCTGAAGCAGAGAAAGAACAGGGTGCGGGTGTGGGGGTGGGGGTGGGAGTGGGTGCTGCTATAGTCAAGATGAATGGACAGACTGTGTGGGATTGTCTAGATTACAATAAGAACCATTATCTCTATCTTTAGACCCATTGAAGGTGTGTGCTTATATAAAGTATACAATTTGCAATTGTATACATTGTTTACAATGAAAAGGTTACTTTTTAATAAGTTTTGTTTGAGACAAGATCTCAAGGAGCCCAGGTTGGCCTCAAACTCCCCACGTAGCTGAGGATGACCCTGAGCTGCGGATTTTCTGCCCTCACCTATGGATTGTCAGTATTGAAGTCCTGTGTCACAATACCATGCTGGGAATTAAACCCAGGGATTCCTGCATGATAGGTGAGCACTCCATCTCAGGCTACTTCCTTAGCACCCTAAATAGTTGTGATAACTGTAAACACGGGAGTGACCCCAACCCAAAACAAGGCCCAGTGATTCTCTCTTATTCACACAAGATAGATTCCAAGATGGCCCACAAATCCCTGAAACATGGGAATGGTACCAGGCACTAAAGTAGGTAGTGTGTTTTTACTTTCCTGCTTATCTTCTATACCCTCAGGTTTTACATCTATGGATTCAACCAACAGAAAATATTTGAGGACCAAAAAAAATCATCTGGACTGAATATTGACTGAATATTTCTTCCTTGTGACTGTTCTTTCCTAAACAATGAATAGTGATATAGCATCATTCTGTGTTAGACATTGTAAGACACCCAGAGGGGATCCAAGATCCTTGGGATGTGTGGGCCTTCTATGCAAATACCGGATAATTTTATACAGGGAACATGAATGTGAAAAGTACTGTATTGATGAGAGTCATGGAACTGGTTCCCAGAATGTGCTGAGGGCTACTGTACGTGCATGCCTGTGACAAAGTTCAACATATAGATTAGACAAGATATTTACAGTAACAAACTTTAATAATAACAATATATTATATAATGAGTTATTTAAAACACACTGTGAATTGTCTAGAAACCCCTACTTATTTCTAGACCAAGGGTGACAACACATAACTGTAATTTTGGGAGGCAAAACCACCGAAAGGAGCATTCAGTTAAGAGGGGCTACTGTACAGATGCCTCAGAATGCTCCAGATGCTCTTTCTACCCTGCCATCCCAGCTGCTGGAGGCAGTCATATCCAGACTCCACCAGCAAACAGAGCAGAGACTCTCTCCAATATTGTAGAACTCGCATGAGTTGAGCCAAACAACACATACTTTTCTTTTCTTGATTTTGCTAAATCTTGTCTTAAAGATACCTGTGATACACATGTTTGCATGTATCACACTTTGACTTCTTTTTATTACTGAGCAGAATTTGTGGATAAACAAAAGCTGTCTATTTATCTGTTTTTGGACAGCTGAGTTGTTTTATGTCCTGACTTTTGTGACAGCCACAATGAACTTTACTATACCAGTCAGGTTGGGACATATGATTTATCATGAATAATTATCAAAGAATAGTTATCCTACATCCATGATGTTATGGTTTATTTATAAATCAGACCACTGCACACTGAAAAAGACCTTCAAACATTATCACTCAATTCCTTACATACTAAGAGACTTTCTAAGGAAGAAATTAAGTCTGGGAAAGTCTTACCTGTGAAAACAGTTATTGTTGAGTCATCCCTGCTGGCATTTTTAAGTGCAAGCATAATCTCCTGATACATCTATGCGAATGAAAAGGCAGATAAAAGAACACTGAAAATGAGCTCCACCATCCCGTGGACCGACACTATATCAGTCTGAAAGCCTTCTCTCAACACAGTGCTAAGCACTCATAGAGACTCTGTTTTGATACTAAAACAGAGGCTGCCTGAGAGAATTTCCACTCTAACAATGGCTGGGTGCACATGATGTCCAGGTGCTGTGGCAGATGCACCAAATAACCACTTTTTCCAAAGGGGAGCAAGAGAGCCACAGTGCCCGAGATTTGCAGCTGGACAGTTACTGTGCTCCAACAGGGATGGGGCAAGGGAGGGGCACGGGGTAGGACGCAGTTCTAGCAAGCGAGAAAGAAGAAAGGTGGCTGCGATAACTGTGCCTGAAACAGCATCTCAACTGTGACTTTGGGAAAGGGGAAGTGTCCTGGGCAGTCTGGGAAGCCACAACTAACGCAGAGGCTGGATTTCTCTGTGCTGGGAAACAAGACCACTAGCATTGAACGTCTCTGAAAAATCTTGCTGCAGTTTTGGTGTGTTTTCAAAACTGGCATGGATTTTGCTTTAATAAGATTCAGTGTGGGAAAGAGTTGTGAGGAGGGTGGGTGTTTATAAAGACACTGGAATATAGAAGCATGCACTTAATATGTCAATAATGATGAGACTGTTTCCTTCAAGGCAGGGGACAGGAAATAACTTCTGAGAATCACAGCAGCCAAGGTGACGAGGTAGAGCCGGGGCCAGGAAAGAGATGGATCAATTGAGATTCTCCTGTTTCCCAGCTATAAGAACTTATCAAGTTACTTCTCAACCCACGGAACTATTTCATTAAATAATGGTGATAAGGTTTTGTAGGCATATATAAATCTCTGTGCGGGAAGTCCTGATTCTTGCATGCTGTAGTGTGTAGCTGGAACTACCCTCCTTACAGAGAAGTCTCAGGACAAACATGAAGTTCTCAGAATTAAGTGCCTTATCAAGTTGAAGGTTCGTGAGCCACTTTATAAGATTCTTAAAGCTTCAAATGAGCATGCTGTCCCACAATGCAGATGGCAGCCTTGACCTCCAGTTCACCTCCAAGCATCTGCTAAACCCCTGTAATCAGGGAGACGGTTTCTGGTGATTAACTTATTATCAGTGTAGTTCAAGGAGAAATTTCCAGTTGCCCTGGGAAGCAGTTCATTCAAATAAAGCTATTAATGTTCTTCTGAAGACCCGTCTCCTCTCCTCTCTTCTTCCCCTTCCCCTCCCTTCCCTGTAGAATGACTAATAAAAACCCAGAGACAGAAATTGGGGTTCAACTTGAAGGTCATAAAAGCAAAGCCACCAGCTCTTACCTAGACCTCAGTCTGAAATGTGGTCTTGCCTCCTGGAATCTCAGAATGAGACTGTGTGTGAGAGTTGTCTCCTCCCATTTATTCCACTCTAGTGCTGGGATTAAAGGTGTGCACCACTATCACCTGGTTTCTATGGCAAACTAGTATGGCTACTGGGATTAAAGGTATGTGTCACCACTGCCTAGTTTGTAAGCCTGATCAGTGTGCTTGTTTACTCTCTGAACTTCAGGCAAGTTTTATTTATTAAAATACAAATGAAATGCTACTACACTTCCCCTCCCTCTTTCCTTTTCTTCTGTAACATTTTCTCCCTCCCCCAACTTCTTGTATAAAATTAGGGTTCACAAGCATAGAAAAGCTCAGAAGGCAGTGATGTAAAGACTCTTTGGGGAGGTTTACCTCCCCGTTGGGGGTCTCTGTGTATCTCTACCAATGCTCTTTCATTTAAACTGGTTTGTGTTTCCATTCATAGCAAAGCTTCATTGTCTTCTGGATATGTAGCACCTACCAGAAACTTCCCAGTTATAAACAATGCCCAACTTGCTCAATCAAGCCAAATACTTTAATCTCTTTCCACAAAAAATATAGGAATAATGCTGAAATTCTACAGTTGTGTTAGTTAAAGAAATAGAAGAAAGAAAAGTGTGCCCATGCTCTGGCAGGAGCATCACCTGTAAAGTTATGGCATTCCTTTTGGAGGGCCGATTGAACATGATCTTCGTGATGCCATCTTCAGAGGTTACCACAATGTCCTTAGACTCCTGGGCTTTCATATCAGCTCCACTTTTGCTCTGGCTAGAGGCTTCAGATGAGGGACTCAAACTGTATGCCAGATCTGCATAGTTCTGCCTGGCAGTTTCCTGTGGATGACGAAGACCTCAGTCTTTAACCTAAACAACTTGAGAAACATACTTTGCTGATAAAAACCACTATGCAACAAAGAGCAGAGTCTTTGATTCAATAGTGGTGCATCACGACTTCAAAGGTGATGGGAGAGGTGACCCATATGTGTCATTCCAGCCCCTGGGAGGCTGAGGCCTGATTGTGAGTACAGCACCAATCTTAGCAACAATAATGAGAAAAAGAAAAAAAAAAACTTCAAAAACCTGAGAATAGCCATTCACTGAGAAACTAAGCCTACTGTCCTCTAGTCTATTACAGTAGAATAGGCTTACCTTCCATGCACTCTGCTTAGTTTTATTGTCAAAGTCAGGTACACCCGGTTTAGGCATATTTCAGTGTTTTCTGCGGCCTGTAGAGAGCACAGGGGTGGTTAATATGAGTATGCAAGAGAAAGCCTTTGAGAGGGTGGTTCTAAGATCCTGAGTTCAGTAATTTTGAATTTGTTATCACAGCTTTCACAGGAAGTGAAAATGCTGAGCTAATTTTCAAACGTCAGAACATTTGGAAATCCATATCGTATTCTAAAGTCTCATCTATGATTGCAATAGTTTCCAAACATTCACAAAAAGGATGAGTTACAATAGGTAATTAATCCAATAGAACCCTTATTAAAATTTATGTCATGTACTTTACCTACTTTCTTTTGTGCTTATTACATGGAATCTAAAACATCCCCCACACAGCTCTAATTCCACCTTGACTATTTACTATGTGTTTCTCAAGGCACATTTTACTATGTAACCAATGGCATAATTAACAATAACCAGAACACCACTAGGTAATTTCTAAAACTCAGTCCAGATTCAGAGTTCCCCACTTTGCCAAAGTATCTTTTCTGTGGATTTATGCTAATCAGAGGAAATCAAACAAGAGCCAAGCTGTTACGTCTTTTACATCTCTTTATTTAGTAGCGATATCCAGGGCTATTCTGTACTTTAACAGTATATCAAGGCATAATCTTCAAATAAAAAGCAAAACAAACTGAGCAGTGGTGGCACATGTCTTTAATCCCAGCACTTGGGAGGCAGAGGCAGGCGGATTTCTGTGAGTTTGAAGCCAGCTTGTGGTCTACAAGAGCTAGTTCCAGGATAGGCTCCAAAGCTACAGAGAAACACTGTCTCAACCCCCACCCCCAAAGCAAAACAAAACCAAACCTGCAACCTGCATGCATGCACCCCAAAGTGGGTCAGCAATGCCACCTAAACATTCAAGTTGCATGTTAAAAGAAACTCAAAAATTTTAAAGATATTTTTATACATTTGACGGTTTTGTCTGTCTGTGTGTGTACCAGGGGCATGCCTTGCGCCCACAGAGGTCTGGAACTGGCATTAGAGATGGCTATGGAAGGGGATGTGGGTGCTGAGAGCCAAATCTGGATCCTCTCAGACGTCCTTCTTGCTGGCTCTCATTGTTGGTTGTCCAGATGCATCTGTGCCACCAGGAAGCTAAAGACTTGCAAGAGACTACAAACAGTGGTTTCTATTTGTCCTAGCCCTTCATTTCTGCAGCAGGATTGCTGATTTGCCTCAAACCCTATAGAGCAAAATGACGTGTTTATCTCTCTTTTCTCTCTGCTGTCCCAAAAAGCTAGCTTCAAATGTTTCCTGAATAAAATCTGTCTACAGATCTTCTTTTTTCCCTTCAAAAAAGAAAAGTCTTCATTTTGTTTTAACCTGACAAGGGCCATCTTTCCAAAGAGAAAGGGAAAGAAGATTTAAAATGTCCAAGAATGGCTCATGTAAACAACTTCCCACGGACTGGTACGAACTTGTTCAAATGAAGGTAGATTTTGTCTTTCCTCCTGATGCGCAGATTATTTGGGCTGTCACACACGGGTCACTCTATCCAGCCACTTCTCTCAAAATAGCAAACCAATTGTTTGAAGCCTACACTGCTGATAACGGTCTGCGACTGTGTAGCTCCCAGCTAACTAGCAATCTTGGACACACGGCTCTGAGCATCCTGGGAAGTTCCAGGCTGGGTCTGCAGGCATAGGAGCTGCCGGTACCAGAGCTCGCGGCTCCTCCAGGTTTGGCAGGCGTCCTGAGAAGCTGATCCTTACCCTTCGGGAAATGCTACCTTACTCTTTAGAGCTCTCTCGCTGGAAAACCACAAAAGGAGTATCCTGTTTTTCTGCTAACCAGACCAGATGACACAGCGGGCGACTCCGCGAGTGGGTGACAAACCAGGCTGACAACTTTGGGCCAGACAACGGAGGTTAAAAGCTTACCTCGGACACCAGTCTCCAGCGCAGACCAAGCACCGAGCCAATCTCCAGGTCGCAGACGCTGAGGCCAGCATTGAGGCAACCCAGAGTCCTGAAGTTTAAGAAAGGCTGAAACCGGTGGGAGGAGCTAGGCAGGGGCGGTTTCAGATGTGAGTCTGGGCAGTGGGTGAAACTAGGGTCTCAGGGAGCAGGGGAAGGCGGAGCCAGTAAGTGAGACCTCGGCACTGCAGGTTCCGGGCATGTTCTGAGGTGGGTATGAGCGAGTTTTCCGGATAGGCGCTTGGTTGGTAAAGAAGCCAAGCAGAGAAAACTGAGGCAAACGCTTGGCTCTGGACTAGAAGGACAGGGCACTTTGGGCAGGGAAGAGTCTAAGGGTGTAGAGTGCAGTTACCGGGATCTGGGAACTAGGTTCGGAGAATAGGGCTCAGGGGATAGGATGCAGATGGGCTTTGGCACAGGAGGCAGGGAACCTGGTGCTAGGCATAGAGGGGAGGATGCTGGGCGCAGAGGGTGCTGGGCTTGCTGGCAGGGTTCTGGGTACAGGGGCCAGTGGGCAGGGTGCGGGGCTCACTGGACCCAGAACAATGGTTTAATGAGGGAGCCCTTTATAGAAGTTAAGGGCTCCTGGGCTCTTGCAGTTCCCTTTAAAACAGTTCAATGCTGAGGCCAGTTGCCTTGTGAGGGAAAAACTCTTCCCTAGACTACATAAAGTATGAGGAATTATTCTGACAGCATTGCCCAACCAACAGCAAAAGTTAGGAATCTGAAAGCAGTCTGAATCCCTTCTGTCTCACTGCGGGCTCCCCTCTATGGATCTGTCTTCCTTCCACAGCTGTTTCTTGGCTTTATCTCGCCATCCCTCACCCCATTCAATCTTTCTTCAGGTTTCACTGTTTCTGCATTGCTGGTACTTGATCAGCCCTGACTGGCTTTGCTTTCTTCCCACCTCTGCAGCCTGCTTTCCTCCTGCTCTCCCTACAGTGTAACTCTGATGGCTGTGGTTGGAACTGTGGCCCAGAGTTCTCATTTGGGAAACATCTCTCAATTCCTGAGTCAATGGCATTTGGGGTAAAACATTGAGTAGTAACTAAAGTGAGACATTAACAAACAGCATGAAGGCCCTGGCCAGTTGCCAGAACTTGACAATTAGACATCTCAGCTTCCAAAATGCTGAACTCGCTTCTATTGTCTGTAATTTACCCAGTTGGCGGCTTTTGGTTGCAGAAACATAAAATGGACCAAGACACTGACATGACTCACAACAGTCTCTTGATCCTTCCTCTGTCACTGGAATCTTGTGTGGGTCCCTTTGCCTAATAAGTAACCCAAGCCTCTTAGTGTAACACATAAGGAAGGCCTTTGAGATTTGGCCCATAATGTCTAATCATCTCTCCTGCTTGCCCTTTCCATTCATTCATTCACACAGTCATTTATCCATTATGTTAGCTTTTTATGAGATAGTCTTACTGTGTATCCCAGGCTGGTCTCAAATATTTGGTGATCCTCCTGTTCCTGCCTCTTGAGTTCTAGGATTATAGGCTTGCACTATGGTATGCAAGCCCTTTATTTGATATTTAAAACCATTTGTTTTGAGGCAGAATCTCACTATAAAGGCCTTACTTGAACTTGTGTTGATCCTCCTGTCTCAGCCTTGGGTTGCAGGTAGACGTCCCTGACTGTTCTTTCTGTTTGGAAATGGGTGTCCAGCCTCTCTGGGTTTCTGCAGCCCACGCTTTCTCAATCCAGACACTGTTTGAGGTGAGAAGTCTCTGACCCCCTCGTTGGCTCTAGTCCCCTCCTGTGATCCTACTCTCTGGCTGGCCTATTTCCTAAGACAGATGTCACTAAGTTCCTTTTAGACTAGTAGTTTGTTCAGCCCTCACCTGCACCGTATTAAATGCCATGTCCCATCTCTGGGCACCCGGCTTGACAGGAAACACTGGCTGTTTGTTGCGTGTAAGTGAACTGTTGAAAGCTTCTGTCTGACCTGTGTGTTTCCACGTGTGATGACAATTTTGGGTCAATTGTCACCTTTTGATAAGCTGTCAGATGGTTTTCACTGACTTTATGCTCACGGGCATTTCTTTTTCTCTGAGTCACAGCGCAAGCAAAGGAATTGGACTTTTGCCAGGTTCCTATGACGAAAGCACCAGGGAAAGTGGGATGGGAAAATCATATTCACATATAATTGCAGGGGGAAGAAAGTTATTATGACTCAATTAGTCTTGAAAGAGTCTCTGTACCCTTTGTTCTCCCTTGTGTTTCTTGCTTCAGTTTCATGATCCTGCTTGAGATGAACAAACCTGTGTAACTATGACGGAACAAACTTGGGTTCTGTTTCTATGTCTTTCCAGCCTTCCCTCATCTTCAATCTTGTTGTTTTGAGACAAGGCCTCATGCGTCTCAGGCTTATTTCAAAGTCTCTACGTAGCTGAGATGACCTTGAACTTCTGATCACCCTTCCTCCATCTCCAAGTTCTGGATTATTTGACAACAATGGGTTCGAATCTAGGGTTTCATACTCCATAGGTAATCATTTTACAAGTCAAACCACTTGTAAAATGATACAATATCCATTGGATAAAAAATACCCACTGATACCTTTACCACATTTATTATTATTATTATTATTATTGTTATTGTTATTGTTATTGTTATTATTATTCCCGGGATGACCTTAAAATCATCTTCCTGTCTTGGAATCACTAGAGCTGGAATTGCAGGTGTACACCATGACAATCTCCTCTCCTCTCCTCTTCTCTCCTCTCCTTTTTTCTCCTCTCCTCTCTTTTCTCCCCTTCTCTCCCCTCCTCTCCCCTCCTCTCCTTCCCCCTCTCCTCCCTCTTCTTACTCCTCCCACCTCCCTTCAAGCCAGGGTCTTGCCACCTAGTCCAGGTTGGGTTCTAAATCAGGATTGTTCAGTCTTTCTGGGATTACAGTGTATGCAATATGCTTTTCTTTTGCTTCATCTTTAACAACCACCCCCTCCACAGGGTGTCCTAAGGTGAAAGAGGGACCTCAATAATGGCCCCTTCCTTTCACATCTCAAATGGATTCTGCTGTAAAAATGGAATGTGTCTTTAACACTGGTACTCAGAGGTCAAGGGCTAATTGATC